TTTATTTATTTTGGGACAGAGAGAGACAGAGCATGAACGGGGGAGGGGCAGAGAAAGAGGGAGACACAGAATCGGAAACAGGCTCCAGGCTCTGAGCCATCAGCCCGGAGCCCGACGCGGGGCTCGAACTCACGGACCGCGAGATCGTGACCTGGTTGAAGTCGGACGCTTAACCGACTGCGCCACCCAGGCGCCCCAACGTTTCGGTTTTCAAGAACTACTCTCGAAGCTGTTAAGCTTGCATACGAACTGATGTTCCTACAACCTACTTAAGTAGGATCCAACATGTAAAGGAGGTTCGGGTGTAAATAAATCCCAGATTCACGCAGCCGGTGATCTAGTAGGTGCTGCTCATGGCCCCCTCTGGCAGCCCCTGCTGTGGGTGCTGGGGAACCGGGCCCAGCCCCACAGACCCTCCTCACTGGGGACGTGTGCTAAGGGAAGTGGGTATTTCAAGGGGACCATGTCCTGGAACCGTGACGCGGGACTGGCAGGCAGCCTGCATCCAGGGGATCTTGGGGGCACCTGCAGACTGCCTGTTGGGCCACCAGCAGCCTTGGCGGCTGGCAGGACCATCTTTACAAATAGACGAGGGCGCAGCTTGGCAGAGAACGAGAGGGGCTCCGAGTTAGCCCCTTGAAGGGGCAGACAGCCTGGTTTTGTTGCCGTGCCCTGGGTCCTTCCTCCATCCGGGGTAAGAGCAGGCATCCACGGCGCTCGCCCACCAGGGGAGCAGTGTGGACCGCCGGGCGCCTGGAGTCTTGCAAGGCAGAGCCGGCCCCTTGGAGAGGCCGGAGCGAGAAAGGCAGATCGGCCGCTGTGATTCTCTTGGTCGGCACCTGCTTCCGGCCCTCAGGAGAAAGCCCAGCTTCCGGGGGTGTCCCTGCTCCCCTCTTCCTCCCCCACTTGGCTCTATCATGTGCAGGTTTGGGAGTTTTGCTCCCTAAAGATTTGCTCTCCTTCTGCCTGCCGGGCCCTGCACCTGCACTGCTGTCCCGGCTGATTGCTCATCGCATGTCAGGTCTCAGCAGGATGTTGCTTCCTCCAGGAGGCTTTCCTTGATTCCCCCTCCTCTTGCCCGTTCTTGTCTGTCCCTTGGGAACCAAAAGAGACCTTGCTGACTGGTGCATTTTCACAGGGAGCTGGTCACTTTTGGATTGACTGAATGAGTGAAAGGGTCTCTGGGCTCAGGAGTCATGTGGCGGGGTGACCACGGCCGGGGCTGAACTTGGAGCCCCCAACCCCTTCTGGGCAGGGCGCCCGTGGCCACCCCAGGGAGGGCTCTGCTCACTCTGGCAGTGTGGGCCGGGGGCAGCTCAGATGCTGCTGCTGCCATCTACTGGAGACGCCCGAAGGGGCTGGGGACAGCCTTGTGGCCTGGCCTCAGACTTCCTCTGCTCTGGTCACAGGTATCACTTCCTGGTATATAACGCATCTGTCCTCTACTGGCAAATGGTGAGGCCGTTTCTCAAGCCGGGATATCGTCACCATCTGATCTCCAGCCTCTCCCAGATCGTAAACGTGTTAAACCAAACCGAGGAGGAAGACAAGGAGTGGCAGGCAGAGCTGATGCTGTGAGTGGAGGTGGCCCGCCCGGCCTCGGGTCCCTACCCGACGGCCCCGTGCAACCTCTGACCTGCTTCCCCTCCCACCTTCACCGGGTGGGACTTACACTGCAGGGTGTAGGGCATTGGTTTGGACTCATGTAGTGCATGTTCTGTGCGCTTGTCTAACGATACCTCGGGATGAAATCGCAGCGTGCTGATCATGTGGGTGTCACAAGCTGAGCGTTCAGACTCAAAACGTAGGAAATGAAAGCTTGTGTCACAGTCCCGGTTCGTGGTTCTAAAAACTTCGTTCCGTAACTATTAATGCAGTAGACATTTTAGCAACGTAAACTCAGCCCGAACGGCCCTATTGAGGGAAGCACACGCCAAGGCATCACCACAGGGACGGCCCTGAGGAGCCACAGTGAGATGTCAGCACGCGGTCTTGGTGCGGGGAGGAGTGAGCGGCGGCCAGACTCACCCCGTGTTCGGGGAGTGCCGTGTGCGGGCAGCGGCCGGGTGGGCGTCCACGAGACGAGCCAGAGGGTCTTCCCTGAAGTTGGAATCGGGAATCTAGACGCTTTCTTCGCCTGCTTTATGGCTACGTGGGGAGCTTTTAAGAGAAAATCAATACGAATATGACGTTTTTTTGAAAAAGCTTATTTTAAACGTCTTAGGGAGTTTCGGGGCGAATATTCCCTTTTTCCCTCCTGCCACGCCGGGAGCAGGAGTGCTCTCTCGGCCCCGGTGAGCCGCACCGGGGGCCGAGCCGTGTGACTTCCTGAAGCTTGTGAGATGTGAAAATGATAAATGCATACTAACCTGGTTATTAGACACGTGCAGCGAAAAACCATTCGGTCACGTCCAGCATTTTGCATCATCCAGGGAGCTGCTGGAGTGTTATCTACAAGCTGGAAAAAAGGAGGAGGCCGCGACGTTTTGTGCCACCGCAGCGCCCTTTATAAAAGCTAACGTGCCCCAGAAATACCGACACATCTTTTCTGTTATGGTAAGCTGGCATGTTGAAAAACGGAGGCAGAAGTGATGTTCTTAAGTGTCATTTTCAGAAAACGGTGTAGACAAACAGCCCCGTCCACCCACTGAGAGGCACAAAAGCATACACACAGTGCACGTGCGTCAGCAAAACCAAACAAAGTCTTTTGCTTTCATCGTGATCTTTGAACACTTCACTCGCAGCATCACTGAATTAAAAAGGGTCGCAGAAAATGCGTTGCGATAAAGTCGCTGTAAACCCCAACAACCTGTATGAGGAGCATCATCGACCACTCACTTCTGTGGGGAGACAGCGCGGGTTGGCTGTGAAAACCGAACAGAAGCACAGTTAATGAGAAGACACTTGCTCATTCCAAAAGTAGTTTTAAAGGAGGATGTATGTAATACAACATCGGATACCTGGACCTCTACCTAATCTTTTGTTTAAATCAGTTAATAGCTCAATTCCGTTTGACAACAGGTGCGCCATGAATTACTGGATGAGCTTCAGTTAAAGGAAGAAAAGAGAACCTCCATAAGCCTGTCTGTCACCTACCACATGAACGTGCTGAAAGCGTAAGTGGTTTAGGGCTTGAGGGGCTGGCCAGTGTCTCTGTGCCGCCTGAGGGGCTACGGCCGTGCCGGGGTGGCCGAGGCCTGGGCCCGGAGGACGGGACTCTGCGTTGCCTCCCTTTCCTCGGAAGCAGCCAGAGAGGCTGCCACGGGCGAGGAAAGTGGTTTAGGAGGAGACAGTCTCCAGCTGGGTGCGACCGTCTGACAGGACCTTCCGGGGGTGGCGTGACATTTGACCCTGACATTGAGAAAAACAACAGTAGGGAATGGGTAAAACCCTGACGGGTGGGTCAGAGCAAACGAAGAGCGGAAATGTACCCGGGCACACACCTGCAACAGGGCTTTAGGAAGGGGGAGAGCCACTGCGTGCGAAGAAAGGGCGGTGGGAGACGAGTGTGTGTGAGGGGCAGTGAGTGTGTGAGGAGATCAGCGCGTGTGAGGGGCAGTGCGGGTGTGAGGAGAGGGCAGATGTCCGGAAGCGGGCAGGTTGCCGACCCAGGGTGCCCGGCAGGGGAGGTACGAAGGGCCAAGCCAGCCCACGAGGGAGCCGCCTTCTGGCTCGGGTCCCGGCAGAGGGTCTGTTCAGGAAGAAAGCTTGCTCTGGGAGTGAGGACGATAAGGAGTGTGAGACGTCCTCTTGGAGAGAGAAGGAACGAAGGAGGAGCGATTTTTCAGGCCTACTGTTGAGTGGGAAACACAGGCTCGTAGACTTGGGAGTTTCTCTTAGGATAATTTGAACAAATCTGACATGACATCTTCGTTATTTAATGTTTGAATACATTCTAGGAAATTGGATAAAAATGAGTTACCTGAAGATGTCAACGCAATTCTGAAGAAGACCTATAAACACTTAAGTTATTACAATCACGAGCGCTTCCCTTCAATCAGAGAGGAAAAGTAAGTGGCTCCAGTTCCACACGTCCGTAATCACTGCGTGAAACTCGCAAGTGTAGGAAATGTGAGAAGACAGAAAAGGCCATCCTAAGTACCGTATGGGCCTCGGCCATTGTGGAGGGTTTCATATATTTCCTCCCACTGTCTTTTTTGGTCTTGAGGTGTGTACCGTTTGGGGAGCATTCGGGACACGTAACTGCATATTGGACTCTAAATCAAATTTGACTTCTTTTTTTATTATTAAAAAAAATTTTTTTAACGTTTATTTATTTTTGAGACAGAGAGAGACAGAGTATGAATGGGGGAGGGTCAGAGAGAGGGAGACACAGAATCTGAAACAGGCTCCAGGCTCTGAGCTGTCAGCACAGAGCCCGACGTGGGGCTCAAACTCACGGACCGCGAGATTGTGACTTGAGCTGAAGTCGGCCGCTTAACCGACTGAGCCACCCAGGCGCCCCCAAATTTGACTTCTAAGTGTAGGTGCCTTTCAGGTCACTACAGCATCTTACACCCCGCATTTCAGTGTCTCAGTTCTGTGCCTTCCAGAATCCTCTCAGTGCTGTTTGAGTTTAGGATAAGTCCCGGGTCGGATTCCCAGGAGTGGGTAGCTGAGCCAGAGGCTGACAGAATGAACCAGAATGTACTTTGCAGTTTATTCCCGCAGAGATGATGGGTTTGCTTCCCAATCCACTGTCACGTTGTCACATTGACATAAAAGGACGGAGCGAGCACAACCACACCCCGTTGGTGTGGCTGCTGCAGTTACCGTATCGCTTTGTGATCCGTGCGCGCGTCCCCCAGGGTCACTGAGGTGTGACCCTCAGCCGTGTCTGGGCCCTTCGAAGTCCCGCTGTTGAGAATTGATCCCTTGATGAATCCCACCGATTTTCTCATCAACTCTGCACTCCGAACACGTGAAACATCCTGGCCATTGTCCGCAGTGATTATTTATATACTTTTTCCATCCATCATTTGTTAGTTGACTTGAGGGTGTTATGGGTGGCATTGAGCCCCCCCAAAAGATCGTCCAAGTCCTAACCTTTGCTGCCGGTGAACATGATCTCATTTGGAAATAGGGTTTTGTGGATGTAATCAAGTCGAGATGAGATCACACTGGATGAGGATGGGCCCCAAGCACTGACTTTTGTCCTTATGAGAAGAGGGAGGTTTGGGGCACGGATGCCCCTGGGGAGGAAGGCCGGTGACGATAGAGGCAGACACGGGAGAGCCGTGGTCGCAAGCTGAGGAACACCACGGATGGCCAGCAAACACCAGAAGCCCGCAGAGCAAGGAAGGATCTTGCCCCGGAGCCGTCAGAAGGGGTGTGGTCCTGGGACCTCCATCTCAGTCTCCGGGCTTCTAGAACTTTAGAGATTAACTTGTTGCTGTTAGGCCACCTCGTTTGGGGCAATTGGTCCCAGGAGCCCTAGGAAACTCATAAGCGGGGTCTATTTTCAGCTGCTACGTCACAAACTGTCACAGACATGGGGGCTTCAACAGTGCACACTGATGACCTCCCTGTGCCCGTGGGACAGGGATCCAGGCACAGCTGCCATCGAGGTGTCAGCAGGGCAGTAGCGGTCTCTTCTGAGACCCGACTGAGCAGGGGCATTATCAGTGCCAGCTACGTATTCCGGACTAGCACAGGAAGTCAGCGCTGTTTGGGGTCTGGCCAGGGAAGCGGCCTCTGCCCGACATTGTGGGTTCCCGTTGGTTAGAAGCGAGTCTCGAAGGGAAGGGATCACACAGGCCATGGGCACCAGGGTGTGGGGTCACTGGGCATCCTGAGGCAGCTTGTGTCTAGACGGGATGACCGGGGCCACAAGATGTCTTGGGTTCACTGTCACTTCGTGTGTGAGCTCCTCCACTGCTCTTGAATATATACAGAGTTAATGGGCCGGGGGTGGCCTGGGTATGCATTTTTAAAATGATTTTCATCATTTTTTTATTTCAAATTTAACATGTAATAATTGTAGAGAGTTTGAAAATGAATCGATGTCAAATTTCAACATGATCACATAGGCTTTCACCTGCTTTTCCCATATAAATTGTGAATACGTTTCTGCATCATGAAATACTCTACAACGGAGTTCTCGACATGGGTTTTCAGACCCTCGAGGCGGTCGGTGAGGACACCTCGGGTTGTGTGAACCTCGGGTTGTGTGAACCCAGGCACACACTTTTGAAGGCGGACGCGTGTGTGCACATGGATGTGTGGCGTCCCCTCCGGCGTCCTCTGCTAGGGCTGGGCCCTCCCTTGGGGGGTCTCACTACTCATATGAGCAGCCTCAGGGGAAGTTTCTAGAAATGGGTCTCTGGGGCACCCGGTGGTGCAGAGCCGGGCCTCCTGCTGAGCTTGGATCGAGGC